ATTCCTGACAGCCTCCAGGTTCCTAACATCCTTTCCGGGTTTCCCTTCTGGGAGTGGGAGCTGCTCTTGAGCACTTCCTTGGGTGGCCCCTCCGACACCACCCAAGTCCATGCTCACTCCCACCTAAGGCCTCTCAGCCCCAGTCTTAACTTCAAGTCAGTTTGGAAGCACCACTAGAGAGTTCCTTCAAGACTAGTTCTTGGACCTCACTATCCTTACTATACTTTTTGGAACCCTCTGCAGCCACCCCCCCCGCCCCCCCCTAGAGACACACGCTTTGGGCTTTCATCCCACGACCTGTATTAGTATTCGAACTCGATCTCGGACTCGACTTCGGACTCAACTTCGAGCTCGGTCTCGGACCCAATATCGGATCTCAGACTCGGTCTTGAACTTGGTCTCAGACTTGGTCTTGAACTCGGTCTCGAACTCAGGCTTGATCTCAGACTATGTCTCGAACTCGGTCTTAGAGTCAGTTTCGGACTCGATCTCGAACTCGGTCTCATCCATTAAACTCTTTATTATTTTGGTTGTGCCTTTAGGGATCCTTTAGCCTTTGACACTTTGGGGAGTCGATTCTTTACAAAACCAAGTCTAGATGATCCTTTGGATGTAAGTTTTTAGAAATTTCTAGCCATTTGGGATTGCATATAAAAGTAATGAAAAGATTTGGGTTTGAAAAATGAGTAACTATAGCCATTGCATCTTGATAATTTTGTTGCATTGCTTTAGGGCCACCCCCAAAACTTGAAGGTAAAATAACAATCTTGCTTGGATTTATATTTTCATTAGTAACATAGTTTGCAACATAATTCATAAGACCAGTATATATTTCAACTTGCAATTGTTTCTGATGAGTGTGATAGTAATTCAAATTATTTCTTTCAACTTTTACATAAGCATCAACTATATATTGTTGTGTGAGTTTTCCTGCATATCAAATTTTATCAAAACCAAAGTGTATTGTGTCTCTTCTAGATAAACAGTATGCATAATATTGGAGTAATGTAATTTGACATCCAGAATTAAAAATATTTTTGTGCCAGCCTTTGTCACCAAAAGGAAATATTAATGGGTAAACCATTGGATCACAATTATAATCAAGTGTTGAGATACATTTAGAATTACTTACAGTTGGATATATACAAATTTCACGACTATGTGGTAGTTCTCTATCATCACTAACAAACACAACAACAACATCATTTGTTTGTGGAGCATTATAATGTCGTGGATTAATTCCTTCAGTTTTTAATAACATGTAAACACCCATGTATAGGATAACCTAAAAGTGTAGCAGAATGAATTTTTTCTTGTTCCATTTCATACATCATTTTGAAAGCTTGAGCATATAGGTTAACATGATGAAGGAGAGCATCAAAATGTTTAAGTAAGTTTGTCTCACAGTTTGAATTAAAAGGGTTTTACTTTCTTATATCTGTAGATTCTAGAGTATCAAGCACATAAAGTTGTCCATAAGTTCAATATTGACCTTTAGAAGGATATGCTGATACAATATTATGATATATTTGACCATGGATTTTAAAGCAATAAGGACCATGACCTTTTATAATATCAATATTAGAAGACATAGATGCAAAAGCAAGAGCACTATTGTAGTGTCTAATATTTATTTTAAAATTAGAGTTTTTATTTTGCTTGTAAAGTGAAAGTAAATCAAATGGTAAAGGTGAAATTGGAGGTAATATAACTTGGTTATTTTGGCAACACATTGAAGAGTTTTCATCTTTAAAATGCAATGCATTACAAAAAATACAAACAAATGATAAACTACCAATATTAAAATTTATTATGTTAAAATCATTATAAATGCTATGGCTTGCTAGTGTGGTATTCATGGGTGGGAGTGGTGGATTTAATATTGCTTGATATATGTAATCATCATAATGACATGCATGTAAGGTTCTAGATGCTTCTAACTGTCCAACTGATTGCTGTATATAATCATTATCATGATTAATATTTTGGTGTATAGAATCATTATCATGATTATTTTGAACAGCTATAGTATGTGTATCATGGTCAATCATAGTTTCAGAGGCATCTAAATCTCCATTAGATTGTTTACTATGTCGTATGGTTCTCAAAAGATGGTGGAGGCATTTTCAGTCACTTTGATTATAGGTTTGATTATATATATATATATTTTTGTAATTGAGTTTGTATAGAAGTTTATGCAGAATAGAAATGCAAACTACAGTTGGATATATAAATTTCACAACTATGTAATGATCTGAAAGGAAAATATTAGACTTTTGCGAAGCACACTCAAGAACAATGAAATAACTCCAATGTTGTGTTTACCAATCTCTGCCTCATAATCCACAGCTTTGCAATTTTGAGCTGCAGCCCCAAGTGCTGCTCCTATGCCAGCATCAGGTTATTTGGCACAGCATCCCAGCACAGCATCGTTGAAACTGGTCCTCAAACTCTTGGAAACTGGAACTAAATTTTAGATTCGATGGAAGCAGTATCGGACAGAAAAAAAAATCTCATCATAGAATACAAAGATATTCAAACTTACGACTTACCTTGATCTAAAAACAAAGCTAAACCAAGTGATGCCTGCGGTGGCACCTTCTGCTTCTCCTTCTCTTTCAAGAGAACCCAAACATCAGTGCTGTGTCAGATTTCCAAAACTTCAGGAGTAGTGTTGGCTGGCACAGCCACTCGACAGCCCTACGTCAACTCGAAACACCTAGTTCCTACAAATGGAGTTGATCCCGAGCATGTGCTGAAACAACAATCCCTCACCAAGCCCAGCAGCAAGGGATTCCTCGAGATGAAGAAGGAGTGTCCTTGATAATTGCTTTCCTGTAGGCCAAAGAGCTTGTGAGGCAGTGGCGAACAGGGATCAAAGCTTTGCTGAGTTGGAGATGAGCCCAATTTACCTCTCACAGTCCTGAGTTGATCCAAGAGGAGCCTAGATTGTGTGCCTGACTACCATTCTACTCACACATGTTACCTACCAAGCACAGGCTCTCACGGGAATGCCCTCACAACTGTGTCCGAGCAGAGCAGCCATGGAGCCCTAGGAGTGCATGGCATAACACCTATCACCATGCCCTCTTCCCTCCCTGGCCACATGTGCATCCTGCCCATTGGCCTCCAAAACATTGAGCCAATATTCCTACTAACCATGGCCACCAGCCTTGGCCCGATCCTAGGCTGGCCTCCCCTTCTTGATAACCATGGCTTCCAAGGCTACCTCGGGCCTAGGATTAGACAGCTGCAGGGGTCTGGGCTCTTTGTTCTTATTATTATAGATAGTATATAGAGGTTGTCTTGAATACAACAATATTATTCTCGCATCTAAATTTGCAATCTAGTATCAATCCATATTTAGTAAGTTTTTGTGATTGTTTCAAATATTAGCTCTTGGGATTGGGGTGAAAGCCTAAAGTGTGTATTCCTCAAGGGGAAAAATTAGAAGGGGAAGAAAGTTATATATATAATAGAGATAAGACCTCAGCCCGTGTTAAGGGCTGTATTTCCATGGAAAATTACATACTCTCTCACTTATGTAGGCATATCCAACCAATTTAAAGCATAATTTAATTTCTGCCTTGAAGCTTGGGTTTTGCTCTATTGCCCTTTGTCAATGGGGTTTTCATTTATCCTCTATAAACCATAGAGTCCAATTTCGACCTGCTCGAAACTGGGAAAGAGCTCTTCAAAATTTTTACGGGGGGTGGGACGAGGGGGACAAAGTAGAACTGGTACTCGAGTTCGTGACATTTGATCTCCAAACTTCCGAAGTTCCTTGTGTTGAACTCTGTCGATTCGGGGAGGTACACATACTGTTGTTCTTAAACATGTGTTGCCAAATCTATATTGGTGGTTTCTACGTCCATTCTTCTTCTCCAATCTCGCTTCTTCCTCTAAAAAACGGCCACAGCTTCTTCTCCTTCACTATCTTCCCTTCCTCGCCTCGTTTGATCAGTGTATCCAGGCGGGCTGTGAGTGAGACGATCAATCTAGAGCTCTATTGCCCTTTGCCCATGCATTTAAAGGTTATGGTTCCACTCCATAGTTATCCTATGATAAATCACTATAAAGTAAAGGGTAAAATCCATGTGTGTTTCAAACTTGGATTACCATTCTAAGTGTGTATAAAAAGTAAAACTCTATAACAAAAATATTATACACATAATCACATATTTGTTGCTTATATAGCAATTAAAAAGTGATTGTATACATAATACTTTTGCATACAACTCAAAACAATAAATATGCATATATGTAGTTATATAATGCTCCCATGTGCAATCATATATTCATTACCATATATATTAATCAGTGAAATATAGCTTTTTCTTATAAGTTTGTCAATTTAAAATATTTGAACTATATATATGTTAATTTCTTAAGGTATTAAAAGCTTTTTCACAAATATAATAATAGAATATGGTAATAGATTAATCTAAGAATTAATAATATATAGATATGCCTAAGCCTTATAAAGAAAAATGTTGTGGAATATAAACTTTAATGAGGTAAATTATTATCATTTGGTTTTTGTTGCAAAAAGCATTAAATTTATGAAGCCTTACTGAAATGTGTAACTTTTAAAGTTCATAAAGTAACCGATGAGGAGTACTGTGAGTTTCTAATACTAAATTGCTTAATTTAAGTTGTAATATCAATGCAGTTTGAACCACTAATTATTTGTATAAGTATGAGACTCTTCTGTTTTGGCAGATTGTTTTGGTTTGTTGCAAATTATAGATTCAGAATAAAACATTCTTACTGTTATATCCAGCAATTAACACTTGTGGTTTGATACTAGAAACACATCAAATAAAACAAATGCTTGCGTCCCCAAATTCAAAGTCTCAACATGGTGCTACTTTTATTTTTTCATCATAATTGTCAAAGTCAAATCTTACTAGCTCTGACTTTCTTTCCGCGTTAAGGGGTTTGTCAACAGTTGCTCCGAGGTATATAAGTCCAACCCAAACCGAGGCATTCCAGAAAGCTCATCTCATACTTCCAACAAAGAAAATAATGGCAATGTTTGAGCAAAGCAAAATGCTGCCTATGTTCCTAGTGATCCTCGCAGTGCTAGCACCAGTGGCTCCAAAAGCATCAGCAGCAACAGGATCGATCGCAATATACTGGGGCCAAAACGGCAACGAAGGATCGCTCGCCAACGCTTGCATCAATGGCACCTACAAGATCATCATGCTCTCCTTCCTCAACGTTTTCGGTGGCGGCCAGATCCCCCAGCTCAATCTCGCCGGCCACTGCGACCCATCCTCGAATGGCTGCGTGACACTGAGCTCCCAGATCGCCTCCTGCCAAAGCAAAGGCATCCAGATCCTCCTCTCGCTCGGCGGAGCGGTGGGGAATTACACCATCTCCTCCGCCAGCGACGCCAGATCCGTGGCGAGATACCTGTGGAACAATTTCTTGGGTGGTCGATCCAGCTCCAGGCCTCTGGGATCCGCGGTCTTGGATGGAATCGACTTTGATATCGAGAATGGAGCGATCCCGGATAGGTACGCGCTGCTCGCCCAAGCGATCCGGGACGTTTCTAGAGGCTCGAGCCGCAGGGTTTTGATCTCGGCGGCTCCGCAGTGCCCATTTCCAGATGCAAACCTGGGATCCGCCATCGCCAAGCAGGGGCTCTTCGACTACGTCTACGTACAATTCTACAACAATCCTCCCTGCCAGTACGATGGCAGTAGCACCACCAGGCTCCTGGATTCTTGGAAGGAGTGGAATTCCAAGACGCCCAATGTGAAGATCTTCATGGGATTGCCGGCGGCGCCAGCGGCGGCGGGATCTGGGTTTGTGCCCAGCCAAGTTTTGAGGAGCCAAGTTCTTCCACGGATTAGATCCTCTCCAAAGTACGGTGGTGTGATGTTTTGGTCCGTGTTCTTCGACCGACAAACTTCGTATAGCCAGTCGATCAAGGCTAGCATCTAGTAGATGTGATCAACAGGAAAAATGAGAAGGAATCTCTTCTCTTTTCTTATCAATTCACTGTTCTTCCAATGCATAGTGGAAGTGGGAATGTTATCAACTTGACCAGTTCTTCCTGGATCTGGAGTGTCACGGTCATCGAATTAAAGCAGCGCGACCTTGTCACAGTAGATCTAATTAAAAATTTCATGACCCCCAGCATGTACCGCGTCCTTGCTATCAACAGAGATTTAGAACAAGCGATGGGCGATGCTTAGATGCCTGCCTAGATCAAATGCTGCCACTCCTGGCTCCGTATCGCACGGCCACTCTCATATAAATTCGCGATTCATGAGCTCGATCATGCGATTGTCACACTTTTGGTGTGGCGAGCTACGAGTCAGATCATAGTGATAGACCCAAGAACATTAAAATCGATCGATTGCGCGCTGGCCAGATCATAGTCATAGACCCCAAGAACATTAAAATCGATCGATTTGATCAGCTTGGAAGTGATTGCATTGATTCAAGAGTGATGGTCTACCGACCTCCTGGAAAATTCAAATTCAAAGTAAAAGCATATACTAGAATCTAGGGCTCGTGAAAGCATGTTTAGGGTTCTTAGCGATTATTGGCGATGGCGATGGCGGACTGGCCGCGGCAGCGCCGGCGGCGTGCGTGGAGCACGTCCAGGGCGTCGCGCCGGTGGGGAAATTCACACGTCCGCGTCGCGCTAGCTACCGATTTAAGCAGATGGTGAGATTTTCTTATCCCTGTGCGCCCCTGATTAGTGACAGGTCGCGAATCGCGATTAAACAATGCCTGCCTTGCCTGCTTTGCCTGGTTTCACCTGGTATGTGACGGATCTGGCGTGCATTCGACGCAAGAATCCCTCTTTTCACCTTAAAAAAATCGGCGATCCTTCTGTACGGAGGACGCTCCCTGGTGCAAAGTCATCGTCTCCGTTTGCTGCCTTGCTCGAGAATTTTTCCTGTTCTTCCCTGCCGGACTTTTGATTCCTTTTGTACAGGGAACAGCGCTGTACTTCTCAGTGGAAGCAGTGCTTAAAGCTTTCACTTAAAACATTAGCCAGAGGCCCAATTGCTATGGTTGGTGTGATTCCTTCGCTTCTTTCTTTCTTTCTTTTTTTTCTTCCTGCCTTCTTGATGGTTTTTGATTTTTCTTCTTGCGATGTCTTGGTCGTGCGAAGAAAAAACTCTTATCTTCTCTGGAGTGGGCCACTGTGTTCTTCATTTTGCTGCGTCATGTGAAGAAAAGGACGTGTTCGTCGTCGTCGTGTGTGCTACATGAACACTTGGGAGAAATCCTTTGTTCGTGGTAGCTACAGTGAGGAAACTTTGCGTCCCCTCGTCTGGTTTTGTTCATTTTCCGGTTTGTGATTGTCCTCCAAGAGCGACTTAGCCGCACGCTGTGAGTTTTCTAGTCGGGAAAATCAAGTGAGTGGCCGAGTTGTGGATTGTCTTCCTCACGTTTCTTTCTGCTAGTTTTATACGCTTTTTTTTTTCCTGGTCTCTCGTCTTGCTTAAAAGGGACTTCTGTCACTTTGCTTTTTTTCTCCTAGCGCCACAGAGCCCCTGAAAACCTCTGCTGCTGCTCTGGTTCTTCAGTACTCACGAGAAGATTATCTTCATTCTCTCCCAGGGCTGCGCGAGGAGGAATTGCCCAGCATGGCGGGAGCAGCGCTCACAAGACTCTACTCGTCGTTCAAGCGAGGCCATCGAAGGTCGTCCAGCGAGAGCAATCCGATAACAGGGAACTGTGGTCGAGCTAGCACCAGCAGTTGCGGAAGCGTCAACAGCCAGGACTGGACACCGTCGGCTCACGAGAAATCTGGTGCTTCGGTGAAGAGGGTGATTGTAGTGGTGGATCAATCGAGCGAAGCGAGACTGGCACTTCTTTGGGCTCTCTCGCACATTGTCCACAAGCTGGATGTGGTGACTCTCCTCTATGTCTCTCAAGGTATGGATTTCGATGAAGTTCGAAGTTCTTTCATTTTCTTTGTCTCACACCTTCTGGTATTGCATTGTCCGCTGCAGGGAAGACCAAGTTTCGAGGCGAAGCAAAGGGGTATCAAGTTCTAAACACGCTCAAGGATCTTTGCTTGGAGCGGAGGCCAGAGGTGAAAAAAGAGTTCTTTTCCTCAGTTGTGTCGCTCTAAACGCGTGGAGTTTTCTTTTTCCTGGCAGATTGAAGTGGAAACTCTGGTTGTAGAGGGAGACAAGGGGCCGATGATTGTCGGCCAAGCCAAGAAGCTCGAGGCTTCGGTGCTTGTTCTTGGCCAAAGAAAATTCGGATTTTTGTGGAGGTAAGAGCCCAGTATCTTCTCGTTTCTTCGTTTCACAGGCTAACACCTGTGCTTTCCAGATTTCTCAGGCTCACTGGCGATGGTCTAATCGACTACTGTATACAAAACGCCGAGTGCTTGACACTAGCAGTGAGGAGGAAAAGCAAAAAGGTCGGTGGCTATCTCATCAATTCCAAATGGCAGAAGAACTTCTGGCTCCTGGCTTGAAAGTCGCGAATCGATCGACTGGATTCGTGTTTGTACAGAGGGAAAAATCGAGAGGAGCCGCAGTTTTGATTGACCACGATAGAAGAAACAAAGAAGGTTTGTTCTCAAGCAGCAGTACAGAGATCCTTTTTATTCTCTTGTTCTCTCTCCTTGTGATTTTGCAAGGAAGAAGTTTCGATGAAGTTCATTGTATACAATGTAATAGAACAAAAGAGGTGTTCTTCCTTCCAAGATTTTATTTCTAGGGTTTTGGGGGTTTTGGAATGAGCGGGCGTGTCAATCGCGCGCTGCGATGCTTGGCGCTGCTTCCAGGTTTGCTTGCCACTGCATCGCGATCGCAATGCTGCATTTGTGTCGATCGTCGTAGGCCATCGGCGATCTGCTGCGGGATTTTGCTCCACGCAGTTCGAGACCGACAGCGAAGATAATCTCTACAACGAGGACGAGGCATCGAAGGACAAGAACTTCTCAAGATCCGCGACGTACAACACATTTGGACTCTACAAGGTTCGTCGCAGTGATCGTTCTTTTGGGAAGTTTCTTGTCATGAAGTTCTTTCCATTCTTTTCGTTTTTCCTTTGGCCATGCTTGATTTTTGTTTGAATCCAGGCAGTGCTCGTAGGACAAGTCGGGTTTGGTCCGTTCGAAAAAATTCTCGGCGATGGGAGAGCTCTCACTTTGTTCTCCATTGGAACCTCGGGCCTTATCAGACCACCGAATTACCCCGAGCAGATCCAGTGGCACAAAGTGGCTGTTTACCCGGAACGCCTTCGAGAGATCGCGAGGCAAATCAGTAAAGGGTAAGAAAAGAAGAGCTTCTATGCTGTGCTGCTAACGTTGTGCACAGACGTAGAGTCTACCTCGAAGGGAATATGGAGGTGAGGATTTTCAACGACTATGTCACTGGTGCTGTCAAGCAAATACGAGAGATCTCCGTAAGGCATGATGGTACGTAAGAAAAAGGAATCGTTTCAAGCTGACGCATGATTTCCTTCTCAGGCCAGCTGATTTTGCTCGAAGACAAGAATCCCCCGAGAAAGCTTACGCTTCCCACGATGGCGTACACACCAGCTGCTGTCACAAACTCTCCGCTCGATCCTTGTCAAGAAGAAGCACTCGAAGATAATGTTATTCTACCCAGGTAGAGCTCTCAGTTTCAGGCTGACATTCATCTGTTGATATAGCGCACGAGAAGAGAATGTTTTTAAAGTCTCTCGTGAACTTGTGACCTCTTTGTTTGTGAGTTACTGCCACGTGTCACGCCCTGGTTGGCCCAATTGGGCGAGAGATTTCCGGTAAAAGCACTGGCTTTCTGTTCTCACGCATGGCGAAAAAGAAGGTAATCTAGCTTGTGAGCTCTCAAGTCCTAAAGATTATTGGTTCTGGACAACAGGGAGGGAAGGGAAAGAAGAAGCTGACTCCCGAAGAGAAGAAATTAAAAGCACAGAAGCTGGCTCTCAAGGTAAAACGACATGCTTTTTCTTCGCAGCTGTTGATTTGTTGTGCAGGCTGAAGAAACGCGGAAGAAGAAGGAAGCTGAGCAACTATTACGTTTGAAGCAGCTCCAGGTACCGCTTATTGATTTACGAGTCTGTTGATGCTGAAATGTATGTCAGGAAAGAGAAGAGCGGTACACGAAGGAAAACTTGGTCGAAATCCACGCTCAGTGGAGGAAGATCCTTCGTGTTTCGAGGACAAAAGAGCTCCGGGAGGAAGTCACTCAGCTAGCTCGAGAACATGACTATCAGGTGTGTTGATGGTTTTCTTTCCGGCATTTTTCCTAACGAAACCGTCAACAGGTTGAAAGGAAGAACAATGTCCTTGCATCCCTATTTCAAGAACTGGAAGAGTCCGAAGCACAGCATCGTTCATCTTTTAGCAAGCATTTGCAAGTTCTCGATGGCTTGATAGATCTACATTACGTTCGAACAAAAGTACTTCCTGGCAGTTTTCTCTTTTTAACTAAGTGTTTATTTACCCGCAGGATATGGGTGACGACTTTGAAGAACGCCTGAAAATCCTTGCTTCAGATTTTAATAACGAGAAAGCGGAGATGATGCGGGTTCATGACAAACAAAAGCAAGTAAGACTGTCAGAAGTTTCTGTTTCTTAGCCTTCAACTTTGATCTGCTATACAGATGTTAAATGACATGATGGACACAATGGAAGCGCAAGTTAAAGAGCACGAAGGGGAACTACGTCACGAGTACGAGGCTAGTCGGGAAGAAATGCGGGTATTCCATGTCGTTGCCATTCAGCTGTGTTCATTGTCCATTTTTGTTTTTACAGAACAAAAATATGGAAGAATACAACGTTCTCAAAATCTCACTGGAGAACGCCATTGAGGATTTAGAGAGACGTTTGGAGCACACGCACCAGGTGAGCTTTCGATATTCTAATATTCCAACTGATTGATTATAGCTGTTTTCAGGACTACTTGTCGAGTACAGAGACCAAGACACAGGCGTTTAAGAAGATGATTGACAAGGACAAGGTGACGGCAAGATTGATTGAACAAAGAATGAGAAAGCTCATGTATATACATGACAACATATCCTACTGGCGAGCGAAGATTGGAACCAACAGGTGGTTGAGTCATCGCGAACTAGCTTCGTACTGATGCGACTTCACAGCCGAGAGTGGGATGGAATCAACAAGGCTCTTCGAGATCAGAAGGATTACGTAAACGGGCACTATCAGGGCCTCAAGAAGAAGCTGTTGAGATTCAGGAATTGCGAACACGAGAGGTTAAAAGTATGGAGTTTTTGCCTGAAAGATGGAGACTAATCACCGATTGCGCTGCTGCAGGACATATCAAAAACCAGTGAAGACATAAGCATAGAGCTGACGTCGCTGCTCAAACTTTCGCAGCGGATCATGAGATTTGGAGACGTGAACAGCAAGGTAAGAAGGTACTGCTCCCAAAGGATCTTCACGCTTTTAACATCTTTTCCAACAGCTGGAAACCGAGCAGGAGAAAATCTTTCCATTCGATCCGTTGCTGGGACCGCCAGAAGTGGATGGTGAGCTTTGTCAGATTGGATTGGAACTCGTACTCACACCCGTTGGCATACAGAAACGGCCGCCGTTCTACCTGATAGCAGCAGCGTCGAGGCAACAAAGAAGAAAAGCGTCACTATTGCAGACAAGCCACGGGTTTTGAAGTTCCACGATACACAGAAGAAAGCAGCCGAAACTTACCGGGTGGCCGCGTATGCAACTGATAGCTCCGGGGTCGAAGTCGAGGAGTGGAACTACCTCTCTCGGTTTCAAAAGCGATACAACAAGGTAAATCTCTCCACTGTGATGCAAGCTCTCAGTTTTTGTTTGCTTCTTGTCAAAGGTTCTCCTGGATAAAATGACACTAGACTTGGAAAAGAAGCGGGTCTTGGCTGAGAACATGAGGCTCCAAACTGCACTGCAGCAATACTTGGATGGTATCACTGTGAATGAGAATGCTCTCAAAGGTCCAATGAACACACTCATGGTAAGTTGCCTAGTTTCTCTTCTTTCCATTCTTTCCATTTCTATTATTTTGGCTTTCCATTCTACGATCTTGCCTCTTTTTTCTTTTTCTTCCATCTTTTATTTGCTTTCCATTCTGCCTCTTTTATCTTGCCAAGGTTTTAATCCATTATTTGTATATCTATAGATGGTCACTCCATTTGGCAGAGCGCAAGCATAAACCAGCGTGGTATGGTTTTATTTTGATCAAACCAAAGCAAGCAAACTTTGCAAAGATGCTATTGATTCTTGCCGTAGAAACTCAATGGGAACACGAGCATCCCATTTCTCCGCCTTGTGCAGCAACGAAGCTCCTTGTCCAGACATCTTTAGGATCTAAAGCTGTGTCGTGGTGATGAGGAGAATGGCGGGGGTGCTTCTCTCTCTTGTCACCGCGAACCTGCCTCAACGCATGCGGCAGCGCCGGCAGCAATGCTTGCATGCATTCCGCCACTGCGTTGGGATTTCCAGGCATGTTTATTATCTGTGACAATCATAGAATAAAAAATAGCGAGCTTCTTTAGTCCAGATGATGGATGGGAGTATGAAAACATACCAGAGTGGAGCCACGGATCCCAGCCACGCCCCTCGAGAGCATTGCTGTTGGAGTCACCTAAAAAGAAAAGTAATGGATCTAAGTGGTCACAACAGAATAGAATAGAATCTACCTTGAGGCTTTCGAGCAGCATTACGGTGGCTAGACCAGGCGCCTCCTTTTGCAGTACCGCCCTTGTGGCCTCCGGAGTTACGTCCTTTGGTGTACAGCCAGTTCCTCCTGATAGTACTCGTCTCGTTTAGAACTCCGGCGAGAGTATATAACGTTTGATCACTCACCGGTGGTTAGTATGAGATCGATGCGTTGATTGTCACTCCAATCTTCGAGCACTTGCTGTATTCTTGGTATGCTATCTGGTACGATGGCTGTGGCTACCACTTTCGCTCCTCCCAGGCTTTTCGAGAGTGAATCGATCACCTGGACGGCCCTTGGTCCACTGGATAGAAACAAAACAATGGTGAAAAACAAACAAAAAAGTTTGTCCAGCTTTTACCTTCGATCAGGACCGTTTCCCGAGGACACGGTGTCGCTCACGGTTAAAATAGCAACTTTCACGCCTGGCTTGCTCGCGTCTGAGGTTTCCACTGGTTTTGTCGAAGAAGGCGGCAGAGTTTTGCTCGTGATATCCCTGATTATGATTGCAGAAACAAGAGATCCAGCGCTTAGGACTCCATGCCCTTTCGGAAGCTCGAGTAACGCGTTTGCAGACTTCATACTTAAGAGGCGACTGCTAGCCTGTCGACCTGTGCTCTCTGCAACGAACCTGGCCGCGTGTGACAATCATTAACTGAAAAAATGCTGAAGCCCAGAGTTACGTACCCCGACTGAATCTCACTGTCCTCCCATTGTAAAACAGCGCGATGATATTCTGGCCTCGTTGCATCAAGCTTGATTGGCTCACGTATTTTAGCTTGAACTCTACATAAAACAAAGTGTCATTCGAATGTATTCTGGAACTTGGCAGAAGCTTACTTGCAAGGCATAACGTCAGACTGTCCGGACATGTATCTCAAAACTGGAAGTGCAATAAGATCGAAAGTCACCATGCCACTGACAGGGTTTCCAGGCAAGCCAAAAACAAGCATTTTCTTGATGTTTCCTGGGGCTGAGGTGATATCGATTGTTGCAAACGTCAGTGGCTTTCCTGGTTTCATATTGACCTGAGCCAACAGTTAGCACAAAACAAAACAAAAGTCTTGTACAAAGCTAACCTTGTTGAAATAGACCGTTCCCCTTTCAGCAAGTTTCGGCTTCACGAAATCCCTGTCCCCCATTGAAACACCACCTGTTGTTATGAGAACATCGACACCCCGAGCAATGGTTTCAACAAGTTTTGCTTCTATCGCTGCTTCAGTATCTCGAGCGATTCCAAGGTCTATACAGGTACATTGATGATTTCGAACAGCTGAAATAAGCATAGGTCTGTTTGAATCCCGAATCTACGCAAAATAAAAAGCCAGGTTTAAACAACAGAACTGGACGTCATGTTATCACCTGGCCTCTCTGCAAATGTTTCTCGGAATAATCCACTAATTCGTCTCCGGTGGACAGTATAGCAACCGTGGGACGTGGAAACACCTGAAAACTCAAGACAGTTAAACACAACGAAAGAAAAAAATAAAATAATAATTGCAGCATTCTACCTTGACCTTCGTAGTCCCAACGCTTGCAAGCAAGCCTATTTCCGCAGGACCTAGCTTGTCACCGGCTGATAGAACTTTGTCTCCTTTAGCAACATCAAAACCCTGGAACGAAGCAAAGTTCCCAACCAAATCAAAAGCATATACAAATGAAAAATTTCACCTCCACCATTCATTGTCTAGATTCTAGAAGAACAAAAAGTCTAGCTAAAAAGTGAAAGGATCTTACAAGTAGAAAGTCCATACCACAGGGCGTATATCTTGGCCTTGGCTAGCACCGGACAGGACGCGGATTGTCTTCTTTCCATCGCGAGGACCAGAAACAATGCACGTATTCTCCACCTGGACAACAGCGTCAGCACCGCGAGGCACTGGTCCTGGAAACGTTCTTCACATAATAAAAAAATGTGAAATGTGAGAACGCACATACAGTACCTCCAGTAGTGATGTACGCAACAGTCCCGGATTCTAAGGTGATGTCCTTCGCGTCGAGGCCAGCTCGTGCTTCGGCCACCACTGGATAATCGCCCGGACCATCCGACGACACGACAGCATAGCCATCCTAGGAAAATTCTAAGCGAAATTCTCACAGATCGGAAGCCTCATACCTTGACAGAAGCTGGATATGGCGGCAGCGGATCGGATGCTTGCAAATCCTCGGCGAGAACGAGTCCCAGCGCTTGGAGCAGCTCGATCTCCACTGGCTCTCGCCTGGCGGCCACGGAGAGCGCTAGAGACACGGCCTCGGCGACAGAGACCATGGACAAGGATGCCGCCGCCGCGGCCATGGCGCTCCCACACAAACCCTCGTCCATCCTCGCCCAATTCAAATGGGGGCGCTCTTTTTATGTACAAAAATACTTTGGACCGTTGGATTGTGGAGAATATAGATTAGTGGAAGTTAAAGTGATGACAATATTACCTTAAACCAAAATGTTATCTTTTACTAGTCTTTTTATTATGTATTCTGTTCTTTTGATGAAAGAATATGGAAGTAAAGACTTTTATCACAATGATTATCTTCTTCTTATGTTTAAATCCAAACTTCCAGCTCTAGCTGTGGTAAAGTACATATAGAATTTGAATGGCAATCAAACTGTGATAGGGGAAAACATTACTTCTTGATCTCTTGGCCTCTTTTATGTACAATATCAATTGGAAATCTAGGGCTATGACTTATATTCCAATTGTTACTTGTTGTTGTGGTTTGCTTTCATTGGCCAATGATTGTAGGCTTACCTTGGTGTTTTAGCTAGTGAGATAGTGGCAATGAATAATACTCTATAAGTAGGCTTTTAACAGTACTTATTGTGCTCCTACATTGACTTTGAGAAAATTATGTTTAACATATCTAGCTCAACTCTACAACAAGTTAACTTCACTTTCCCAACTAGCTAAATCCATAACAAATAAATTATGTGCCTAGCTATGTAAATAAGAAACCAATCAAGAAGTATCAATCTCCTATTAATATAGTAGTGAGAGAAAAATGTCTTAAGGGACTAATTAACAAAGATTTTCCTCATGGTAAGTCTTATAGATGGTACTCCAAAGTGGAGCTCTCAATGTCCATAGGAACATCCATAAGATAGTGTTGCTCTAGCTCAGAACACACAAATCCATTAACAACTGCCCTAGAACTAAGCTTATAATGCATATTAATGCAACAAGAGCAACCATATTGGAGCTCAACCTAGTTACTGCTTATGTTAGAGTAGAATAAGCCAAACACACACACACACACACATACACACACTAGATATATAGGTTTTTCTACCTTAATTTTGAGGTTTCACAACATGGTGTTTAGAATTTATAAATTTGAACAGGGTGATTGTGATTGCAGAGGCACAAAAAATAAGCATTCACCATTTTCTGGGCAAAGATTTTGCTCTATTGCAAAAAGAGAAGTGGTTATGTATGCCAAAAAGAGAGTCAATGAGGGCTTTGGTTGGAAGAAATGGAAAACAAGACAATAAAGATGTGATGTAGTAAATGAAGCAGTGCAAGGTGTATTCATTATAATTAGTACAAGCTATATTGGGAGATTGGGTATTAGGCTCAAGGCTGCCCAAATGATGATCGTAGAAGTCAAGGAAATTAGGGTGATGCAATTAGTTATTCATGTTATGGCTATGGAGTGGGATGAAGTGATGCAAAGTACATCCTTTGTTATAACTAGTGCAAGTTGTATTGGGAGATTGGGCATTAGGCCCAAGATTGCCCAAATGATGTGATGACAAATTTAAGTGAGTTATTGGAGCTATTGGACGAGATTAAGGAAAAAAAGTCACAACATAAAGGTTGGACAACCATGATTCTTAAACTCAAGATATCTCATAACCATGGATAAATTTATGCTTGAGCAATATAAACTTGCACATGGATCCAAGAGAGTGGTCTTGCATAAGTTCGAGATGGAGTTCGAGATGGACCCGAGATGGACCCGAGATGGAGTCTGAGATGGAGTCCGAGATGGACCCGAGATGGAGTCCGAGATGGACCCCAGATGGAGTCTGAGATGGACCCTAGATGGAGTCCGAGATGGACCCAATCTGGAGTCCGAGATGGAACCGAGACCGGGACCGAGACCGAGACTGAGACCGAGACTGAGACCGAGTCCGAGTCCGAATCCGGGACCGAGACCAAGTCCGAGTCCGAGTTCGAGTCCGAGTCCGAGTCCAAATACTAATACAGGCAGTTGGGTGAAAGCCCAAAGCGATCGTCCCCCAGGGGGGGCTGCGGGGGGTTCCAAAAGTATAGTAGGGAGAGTGTGGGGGTTGGAGCCCAGTGGAGCCAGTTTGGCCAGGAAAGGCCAGTTTGGCCCAGGAAGGCCAGACCCAGTGTTGGGTGATGAGCTGACCACTGGGAAGTCCAAGACTAGAGTGACTATGGACCGACAAGCGGGGTAGCTTGGTGAAGTGTTCAAGAGCCGGCTCTAGTTCCCTCGGGAGATCGACTGGCCGATGCTCCCAGTCCAAGTGTGGGTGGCACTACCTACTTGGATACCAGACGTGGCTCAACGGAACCTCGCTCTAAGCCCATGGCTAGAGCACCCAAGGGCGGAAGGCGGGGACAGTACCCAGGTGGCTCGCGTAAGGCCATGGTGTTCCGAAATGTTGTCCCAAAGGCCCAGACTGTGGAAAGGAAGAGGAGTAGTCCTCTGGGGTAGTGACCAAGGACACAGTCGTGTGGTGAGGAAGTCCCAGAGGACCATGGGACTTAGTGGTCGGGCCTGTGGCCCTTGATCCAGTGGCAGTGTTAGCAAACATGGCCAGGGGCAAAAAAGGACTTAGTGGGGAAGGACAGAGGGATATTGGGGAAGGCTGTTC